AGCTAAAATTGAGTCACCACCACTCTATATTATAAGCGCCATATTTCCACACCTATTTGTATTTACAACATGGAATGTTTGTCTCCTGGGTTGGATTGGCTGGGCCCTTCCCCGGCATCCATGTTGTTAGTCGAAGTACGTAATAATTTGAAAAGCTCTGCTTTCCTTGCTGTTGCGGGGTAGGGGATTTGCTGTCTCCTCAATTCAGTGGTTATACGAGGGATCGTCCAGGATCTGATTGATGCTGGACTAGTTACCTCTCCTCCTTGTGTAGGAGTAATTGCTCTAGCCGGAGTGCTAGGCGGGAGAAATCCTCTACCCCTTCCTGAGACATACTAAAAACAAAACAATGAATTCGTGTATGAAAACCGACAAGATCGTACTGGCAGGCTAGCTAAGCCGGATGGCGAAACATTACACTTGTTTAGTGACAGGTGAGGCCCTACTAGTTGCCAAGTGGCTTGAGAGGCTCTATGCGTTGGCACGAGGGGATTCAAGGCCACCCGTCGTAGTGGCAGGATTGTAGGCCTCTCGGTGACTAACAGAAAACAGGGAAAGGGAGTGACAGGTGAGGCCCTCTCTATGCGACATGCGAGGCGACTAGCTCACGTGTGGTCCAATGGGTGTTTGCCTCCGAACGTTGAGGCGGGGTGTTGGCCTCGTGGGACCACTAACTGATGGCAAATGCCAAGAAGGGGTAAATACCTATTGGGGAGCCTGTGACCCTATTGCCAGTACTCTAAACTAAGGGGTGGGGGGATGAAATGTATGTCAGAATACCCTATGAGCAGGCGTACGTTCCTGGTAGTAGGAAATATCTCACAGCGAATTCGTGTGGTGAAATATATAAACCTGGACAGCCTGAAACGGGTAAAAAAGGTAATATAGTGAGTGTGGTCTGTGTAGGAATGGTGTAGACTGTGTAGCCTGTACCAGAGGTGTTTTTTTAAGGGTTTGATTGTGGAGTTTTAATTGGTAAATGCCAGGAAAGTGTAGTAAATACCATGACAACATAAATGTGCTACAAAGGCCAGGTGATGCAGTGTCTTTTAATGTCAAAATTCTGGCTAGAAACAAGGGGGATGTATGATGGGTGTCAAGTGAGAAAAGAGGAGGGGGCGGGGGAGGCCGTGGCCTATATGTAAATGTGCTATGCTGATAATTAACGACAAAAAGGGGCAGGGATGAAAACAATTCTCTAAAGTGATGATGTACAGTTGTATATAATATTACTGTAATGTAAAGAACATATGATTGGTTGGATCAGTACGTGTGATTCAACCCGAGCATTCATTACTTGGAAAAGGAAACCGTATCTTTATGTATCTGTTGTGTCGTAGTTTAAAACACAGAAATGAGGGCTGTAACTTTAGGCTTAACAAAACTTGACTGAAATGGATAAGTATGGAAAACCCCTGAAAGCGTGGGAGTCAAATGATCCATACAGATATGTGAGCTGGTTTGTTATGGCAACCAATACAATTCTGATAATTTTAAACAGTAATAGAATTAATCTATATCTATTAAGCAAAGCAAATCGTTTAACCGAATTGGTATGTACATGAAATGATGAATGTAATCCACGAAAGGATTTATGCGAAAGACATTTTAGCAAGAAAACCGAAAACCCTATGGCAATGGAAAACATAAACTGAACAAAACAGTTTATACATATGAAATTTTATGCGAACAGGCAAGCGTATTTAAGCATATCATGAACAAGTGCCGAAAAGTGAAACAACCGAAAGGATAGCTTATTTCGCTAAAAACACGGAACAGCTTTAGGCGAAATGACAACCTTTAACGAACATACTGAGATTAGCCGAATATTGCACGAAATGATTCCGCGAACGGCTTGTTGAATTTGCAACATAACAGGGAAAAACCGCAAAGCGAAGACGCGTGCTGTACCGGACGCCGTGGGAACCGATCCTGGCGTGACAGGTAGGACTAACTTGCGGTTTAGGAGTCCCTGGGATGCGATCTACGATGATGACCGGGGTCCGGAGAGGATGGACGGACGGAAAAGTCTATAACAGGATTCCTGGACACAGCTTGCAGAGGAAAAACTCGTGGATAGTGAAAACCAAGATGGCGTCTGTGAAAACCTGGAAGTGGATCCTCATTCAACGCTGACCTCGAACTGTAAGGAGTGTTCCTTAAGTAGGCCAGGAGTGGATAACAAGCACCTCCCACAATTACAGGCCAAATTGCCTTAATACATATATACACATATATACACAAACAAATCCAAAAGGTAGTCTGCACTCACAGATTTATTTTAAAGCTTAGTATTTATTTCTACATTTAAAAAAAAAAATAAGACTTACATAAAGCGGTAAAGTTCATAGATGGTCAGCATTTCAGTTCCAGTTTGGGATTTTTGTTGTACTGAGGAAAGTCCCAAACTGGGACTGAAACGTTGGCCATATATGCACTTCTAACACTTTATGTAGGTGTTTTTTTTTTATATGTAAAAATAAAAGCTCAGTTTTCTTAGAAATCCGTGAGTGCAGACTACCGTTTGGATTTGTTTGTATGGACTTGTGACCACAATCTAGTACCCGGTATTAAAACAGTGATTATATTAACCCCTTAAGGACCGAGGGCGGTTCAGGACCGTCATCAGCATTTTTGCCTTGCCGACCGATGACGGTCCTGAACCGTCCTAACGATCCTAGTTACTTACCTGATTGCCGTCGTTCCCCCGGCGGCGATCAGCGTGGCTCCCGGTGTGGGGAGACTGCCTACAGTCCAGACAGTCCCCCCACACTGAATTAGGACCCCCGGGGCCATGTGATCGCTTAATGTGTAAAAAAAAATAAAAAAAATTATAAAGTTAATGTTAATAATAAAAAAAAAAAAATTATATATGTATATGATATATAGACATATAAAATATGTCTATATATATCATATATATATAATGTCATACTAAGTGTATTTTTATATTAATATGCACTTATATTAATATAAAAATACACTTATAATTAAATTACACACGTATATATAACTATATATTGTATATATATATATATTATAAAATATAAATAAGTAATTTAAATTAAATTAATTTTTTTAAATAATAAAAATTGAAAAAAATTATATATCTAAATGAAATTTTATTCTAACTGTATTTTAAAATATATATATTTATATCAAAATACACTTAGAATGAATTTGTATATATATATATATATATATATATAAATAAAAAAAAATAATACGAAATATACACATGTCCATATACAAAATTACATAATTATATAAATATACACGTAGATTTCAAATATATAAATATGCATATATATTTAAATTCTACGTGCGTATTTATGTAATATTTTTACATAATTAATTTTGAGGGACCTGCCTGCCAACCCAGGCCGAAAGTCCAGAGAATTTAATTTGCTAGCACTGTATTTTACCCTGTAACGTTCTACGACACCCTAAAACCTGTACATGGGGGGTACTGTTTAACATGTAAAATATATCACAGCGATGATATTGTCAGTGAAAGTTCCTTTTTTTGCATTTTTCACACACACAAACAGCACTTTTACTGATGATATAATTGTTGTGATACGTTTTCCAGTTTTTAAACACTAATATTTGTGTTCAGCGATGTCTCCCAAGTAAAACAGTACCCCCGATGTACAGGTTTTATAGCATTTTTTTAAGTTACAGGGTCAAATATATGGGTCAAATAATTTTACATTGAAAATGGCCAGGTTGGTTACGTTGCCTTTGAGAGCGTATGGTAGCCCAAGAATGAGAATTACCCCCATGATGGCATACCATTTGCAAAAGAAGACAACCCAAGGTATTGCAAATGGGGTATGTCCAGTCTTTTTTAGGAACCACTTGGTCACAAACACTGGCCAAAATTAGCATTCAATTTAATTTTTTTACTTTTTTCACACACAAATAAATATGAATGCTTACTTTGGCCAGTGTTTTCGACTAAGTGGCTACTGAAAAAGACTGGACATACCCCATATTGAATACCCTGGGTTGTCTACTTTAAAAAAAATATGTACATGTGGGGTGTTATTCAGAGATTTATGACAGATAATAGTGTTACAATGTCACTATTGATACATTTTAAAAATGTATGTTTTGAAACTGCAATATCCTACTTGTACCTATAGCCTTATAACATGCAAAAAAGCACGTAAACACTGGGTATTTTTAAACTCAGGACAAAATTTTGTATCTTTTTAGCAGTTTTTTTTCATTCGCTTTTGTAGATGAGTAAAAGATTTTTCAAGTAAAAGTCAAAAAACATGTATTTTTTTCAATTTTTCATCATTTTTTTTATTTTTTTAAATTAAAATACATGAGATTATATAAATAATGGTATGTAAAAAAAGCCCCTTTTGTCCTGAAAAAAAACAATATATAATTTGTATGGGAATAGTAAATGAGAGAGCGGAAAATTACAGCCAAACAGAAACACCACAAAAGTGTAGAAATATGCCTGGTCGCAAATGTACAACATCGCAAAAACAGTCCAGTCCTTAAGGGGTTAAAGCAGGAGTGCAAGGCAAGATTGAACTTATATATATATATATATATATATATACACACACATATACTTACATACATATACACATACACATTAAGTGGAACTAGGACTTATGGGGCTGGCATAAATATTTTTTCCAGGGCTGCTTTGAATTCCCAGTACGGCCCTGGATGTTGGGACAATAACAAACTTTATTGTGACAATGCAACCTTTTATACACAGACCTCCAGCAGGTCTCCATTGTGAACATAGGTAGTTCCTGCGTGGCGTCTTTCTGTCTGGGAGAAGATTTAAGTATCTAGCGCTTAAACTAATTAACACTTGGACGCAGAGAAGCCCAAAACATTAAAAGATCACTATAGTGTCAGGAAAACAAAGCGGTTTTCCTGACAATATAGTGCCCTGAGGGTCCCCCTCCTGTGGCGCTGAAGGTTAAAACCCCTTCAGCAGCTTACCTTAAACCTGCGCTAGGCTCCCTCTCCTCCCCTGCCGTCAACTCCCGAGTGGAGCATAATGCGCATGCGCAACAAGTGCCACGCACACATTCAAACGGTCTATAGGAAAGCATTTCTCAATGCTTTCCTGTGGACGTTCTGCAAGTTGGATGCGAATTTCGCATCCAGCGTTGCAGATGCGCCTCTAGCGGCTGTCAGGAAGACAGCCACTAGAGGTTGGATTAACCTTTGAAACTGCTATCTTTACATGTAAAGGGTTAAAACCTGAGGGACCTGGCAGCCTGACCACTTCATTGAGCTGAAGTGGTCTGGGTGACTATAGTGTCCCTTTAAGATGACAATCCTGAACCCCCACATGTAATACATCATTGTAAAGGTCTGATTTGAGCGCCCATTCTGGCAAAAGAGCGCTGGGATCCATAAAGAATTGAGGAAACTCCACACGGATAAAAGTTTAATCTGACATTCATTGGATTCTAGACGAAATTAGTTCCACAATTTAAGTGCCAACGGACAATCATTTTATCCTGTGCAGTGGGAAAAAAAGGACTCCCCCTTGATTCCAGGGATCAATTGTTCAGCATGGTCTGTTGTAACTGCCCTCCAATTAGTGCCCACCTGGACTGAGTAGAAGTAGGGGTGGAACTTGAGCTGGAAGTGGTGCATATCGCGACCAATCAAGAGTTTCAGACAGTTACAGCTATGTCCTGTTGGAGACATAGCGGCTTACTCCGGATTCCTGGAACGGTCAGCAGGCACAGTGGTGGGAAGAGCGCGGGAGCGTAGTACAGGGAGGGAAGGTAGAGAAAGATTGGTGCACTGCGTTATCTGCTGGACATGTGCACTAGCCAAATGATTTCCTATGGGAAGGCACTGCATTACCTGAGATCATAGAGGAGACCGGTGCGGCTTGGAAAAAAGAGTAAGTTAACTTTTTTTTTTTTTTTAAACACTGGTAGCGCTGGTCTGGTTATATTAATGGTGACTAGGGCACTATAGCAATAGGAATACATAATGTATTAATACTATACTGCTTCTTTAATAGCATTTCTATTTACTAATCTCTGTGGAAAATCTATAGGCAGTGATAGTCCATGCACCCTGAATACTCAGTGAGCCGGTCGGTCGGTCAGTCAGTGAGCCGGTCGGTCAGTCAGTCAGTGAGCCGGTCGGTCAGTCAGTCAGTGATCCGTTCGGTCAGTCAGTCAGTGATCCGTTCGGTCAGTCAGTCAGTCAGTCAGTGATCCGGTCGGTCAGTCAGTCAGTCAGTCAGTGATCCGGTCGGTCAGTCAGTCAGTCAGTCAGTGATCCGGTCGGTCA